CAAGTGATTACCGGACAAGTACTTAACAATACTCTATGAATGGTGTAGGATTCAAGATGGTTCATGTACCAGACAAGTACTTAACAATACTTTATTGTTTTGTGTTGATTTATTTTTATTACATTTATGTTATATTTAATTTTTGTATATCAATGTTATTTGCATGATTGACTGAGTTTTTTTTTTTTTACATTTTATTGAAATTTATATTTCGTTCTATAAAATCATAATGTTATTAAATATCTAAACATACAGAACATATATCGGATATTCAAATTAATATATATATATATATATATATATATATATATATATATATAATCATCTAAACAAAACTTATATTTTATTAATTTAATAAAATTTTATAAATATTATATTTTTAGTAACCATTTTTAATTATCAATATTAATTTTTTCTTACCCGTGGTAACCACGGGTTGTAACCTAGTGATACAATAACCATGAACCTGTTCCATGGCATCCAAAGGGGTGAGAATAAACAGACAATAAAAATGCATGCATGCTAATGTCCTAAGCTAGATGTTATGCATAAATAAATTGGAAAAAAAGAAAATAAAATCTTTTTGGAATTTTATAAAATAAAAAAAATGAATGCAAATTAGCCTAAAACTAATATGTTATGCAACCTAACTAAAAAAATGCATGAAAAAGTAAAAGAGAATACCCCACCTCAAGCTTAAGAACAAGCATTGTCCTTAATGCTTAAGGTAAGCGCAGAAATGACCTAAATCGGAGGATCAGATGACGGGAGATGTTTATGGCGGTGGTTTCGTGAAATTACGACCGGTAGAACTCCGACAATCTTGAATTTTCTGGCGAGGTGGGCGTTTGGGAGCTTATGTTCTTGAGAGAAATGGAGTTTGAGGGAAGAACCAAGGGAGAAATGAAGGAGAAGGTTGCATTCATAAGTCATATGGTCAACGGAAATCAACAAGTCAACCCACTTAAAGATTTGGTCAAAGATGGTAAAAAATCGTAAAAAATCAACTTAAATTAACCACATGATGTTTAAAATCCATACATTGATATGTAGGATCCTTTTATATATATGAGACTATAATGAGGATTGATTATCATTATCGATGTCTAAATGAGTTGATACGAAATGTTGCTCGACACCAATAGTCAAATAAAATTATTTGGTGTTCTTCATTTGCTCTTGTCCGTCGATCACAAATAGAGGGAACCCAAGTGGTTGTTGATTTTTGGGTTTAGGAAGGAGGCTTACTTATCTCTATAATAACCAAGTTGTAAGGTAAATAAGAAAGATCATAATAAATAATAATAACCAATTATTACTTATTTATTGTGGTTGGTAAATAATAATTATCATATATAAATATATTATTTATTCCATATCTTTTTTAATGTTCTTAGTATGTGACTTCATAGGTTTACATATAATTAACAAATAGTAAATTGTTTGTAATTTGCACATATATCCAACAATATTGAATTCTCTTTGTCATCTTCCACTGACGGTTGATGACCTCAAAAAAATCCACATGCTCCTTCATCGTCTAATTGTCACATGGATATTAGCGTTCTTTTAATGTTTGGCATGTATCTAAGTACTTCGATGTCCAATTTGAGCCAACATATTTGGAAAGGTTTATATTTGGTTTGGTGTCAAATAAACTTCGTATTTTACAAGAAAACACCTATAACACTTTGGTACGGCTGTACAAGGCATGTGCCCAGCCTATACATGCCCCCGATGTTATGGTTTTGAGAAAACACCTATAATATACCATATTCTATATGCTCTTGAGAACCATTTTGCAAATTGTACCAAGTGGATGTATGGCATTGACAAATTTTTCCCTACCCATATAAAATCAACCCTTTAGGCTATTTTTTGTGGCTTCACTTGTAGGGTTAAATAAGTTGTGTACTTGATTGTTATCACCTATGTGATGAAAGAACACTTTAGAAAGGTGGATAAGGTTCAAATAGATGATGGTTTTAGGATTTCATACGGTGGGAACATTAAGTATCTTTTTTAGAACGATTTAAACATGTATCCACTACTTTAATCTTAAATCAATATTTTTCGTCCCAAGCAGGACATGAACCCTAAACCTCTGGGTTGAGAGGCACATATCTATCAACTCCTCGTATCACTATGTCAATGCCCTATGGTGAAAGACTTTGAGAATTAGTATTTAAAATTTTCACTTTAAACTCTGTTTTGATATTTACTAATCATCCCCTCATACTTGTTTTAAACACAATATTGTATTTGTTTTTAAAACTTGTGGGACCATTTCAGCAATGTTTGAACTTGAATGGTTTGTTTTAAAAATGATAACATAAATTTAAACAGACCATACAAGCGGTGTTTCATATTTGCCTTTGACTAATAATGTTATATCTTGCAAATGTTGCTAGAGACGTTGGATTTCACCTTCATATAATTAAAATCATCATTTTTTTTTCCTTTCTATGCCTCATGGACCTTATATGAATATAAATGTCTTTATTCATGTTAGTTACTAAATTGAGTAGGTTTTCACAACTAGATATAATGTTTCCCAGAATTGTAGCATACTTTGATCCCATATCCGGACATTGCACTTTGCTTTTAGGCAATGTACTTTAAACTTCTACTATATCCACCGATTCTAATACTCTATATCATTTATTATAGACAAAATTACAAAAATGGTCCTTGAGGTTTGCCAAAAGTCACAAAGTTAGTCCCTGCTAATTTTTTTTGATGCAAATGGTCCTTGTGGTTTGCAAAACTTGCAAAGTTGGCCCTTTTTACTAACGTCGTTAGTAAAACGCTATTAGAGACTGAATCTGTAAGGGTATTTTTCGTCTTGTCAAGTATAAAGGGGACTGAATTCGTGACATTTGGGACTGAATCTGTAAGGGTATTTTCGTCTTGTCAAGTATAAAGGGGACTGAATTCGTGACATTTGATAAATCACAGGGTCTTGTCAAGTATAAAGGGGACTGAATTCGTGACATTTGATAAATCACAGGGACCATTTTTGAAATTTCTTTGAAAAAGAAAATTAAATTGTTTGGGGGAGGGATCAAACTAATGACCTCCACCCTTCTATTTTGTCCAACGACTTAGCTAAAGGCCCACTTGATTTTTATCTTCTAAAACTAATTTATATAATAATAAACTGATAAAGCATAAACAATAAATAAATTAAAAAAAACATTTTTTTACATAATTTTTTTTAGTAAAACAAAATGTATTTAGCGTATTATAAAAAATACGTTTAGAAAAAGTATTTTTTTTAATGTGTTTATTTTACATTTAATAAAGTATAAACAATAAATAAATTACAAAAAACATTTTTTTACATAATTTTTTTTAAATAAAATAAAACATGTTTTCCGTATTATAAAAAAAATAAGTAAATTACAAAAAACATTTTAAATAAAAAAACGTATTTTTTTTTTTCTAAAACTCATATATACAATAATAAAATCGATAAAACATAAACAATAAATAAAACGTATTTTTATGTATTTATTTTACGTAAAATATGTTGTTTTATGTATTTCTGAAAATCGTCTTTTGGTTATATGTATTTAAAAACACTTATAAAACCTATTCGGTTATATGTCTTATTTAAAATACGTATTTCAACTTTACCGCTAGTTCTAAATCGTATGGTTAAAATGACGATGAAAAGAAATAAAGATATATTTTTTTAAAATAACAATAATTAACACTACTTGCAACATATAAAAATATTAATTGTTTAAATACATATAACAAAATTGTTGTTAAGTTTTTTTTTACCGAAAAACGGTTTTTAGGAAACCGATTGGGCCAAAAAAAAAACAATTCGGCCGATTTTTCCTTTCATTACAACGTAATAACATTTTATACGAAAACGTATTTTTTAAAGACATAAAAAAACATTTTATGTAAAATAAATATGTAAATAAATATTTTATTAAAAAAAATATTTTATGTAAAATAAATACATCAAAATAAATACTTTTTCTAAACGTATTTTTTATAATACGCTAAAATACATTTTGTTATATTAAAAAAATTTATGTAAAAAAAATGTTTTTTTTAATTTATTTACTGTTTATGTTTTATCGATTTTATTATTATATAAATGAGTTTTAGAAGGTAAAAACCAAGTGAGCCTTTAGCTCAAGTGGTTAAGTCGTTGGGGAAAATAGAAGGGTGAGGTCACAAGTTCGATCAAAATTGTTTTAGCTTGAAAAGAGAGAGAGAGAGACTTACTTTCAGCGGGTTGTATAACCCATTAAATCCTCAAAACTAACACTACCACAAGGGAATGATCATCATCTTGAGGATACCTGCAACCCAAACCCAAAAAAATAATAAAATAAAAATATCACACTTCATACTCCCTAAGCTAGCTTATTTTTCGAGTTTTTTTAAATTGACATGTTCTGCAAGCCAAAAAGTTGCTTATAAGCTAGTTTTTTAAAAAGCTACTTAAGTTATGTTTGGCGTATTAGTTAAAAAGCTAGCTATTAGTTAAAAAGCTAGCTGATAAATAAAAAGCTAGTTGATAGCTAAAAAGCTAGCTTATAAGTTACTTTTTGACTTGCCAAACATAACAACTTAAAAAATCTCAAAAAATAAGCTATAGCTTTTCAGCTAGCTGTGACGCTGCAAACACAGTCTTAGACTAGCTTTTCAGAAGCTTTTTTAAAATCTTTTGAGTATACCCTTAAATAATTATAAAAAACATATTCTTTTAATTGTCATTTTATATCTTTCAACTAACTTATCAGATAGTAGTTTTTACATTTACAGAATGTCATTTTTGTAAGCTAGCTTATAAGCTAACAACTAGCTTTTTAGCTAGTCTGTCAATCATAGGCTTAGATGTATTTATTCTTTCATATTTACTACCACTGAACATTAGTCATGAATTTTAGTACTTCATGTTCCATTTTTTTTTAATCCACTCTGGTACTTATGAACATAGTGCATATGCATGTTTCTAGTACTTTATTCATCCTGGAACTTTTTATACACCTTACATATGATAAAATGACAAGTAAATTTGATGCTCTTCATGGATGTTTAAATCATTCCTAAACTTACTAATACTTTTGTTGCTTCCCAAAATAATCCAATGCACACATCACTCTACACCAAAAGCAAGCATTTTACAAAGTTTAAAATCCCCAAAATACAATCAACCACTATACTTTTGTGTTTCCATTGCATGAAATTTACAGGAGCTTCAGGTATCCAATTGAGTTAAGTAGCTTTTCCCCATGTCTCCTTCATGCATAAATATGACATCAGTAATAAAATCTAACCGTGGTTAACTGATATCACTTCACCTGTGATGTAACCATGAATCATGGACTCATGGTTAAATTTTTATGCCACAGCAGCTTCAACTTCAACTTCCTCCTCCACATCTGTTTCTGCAGCCGATATCAATGAAGCTGATTGGATCTTCCCAGCATGCTCAAGCCTCATCAATATCACTCCCCTGAGACAGGTACACACCATTACAAACATCAACTTAACTTAATAATGTTTTTTAGAACACTGTGTTTAAACGACTATTATACCCTTCTGTTTGTCTAATTCATATGGACTTAATGTGAGTAAATCACCATTTTACCCTTCTTGTTTTGTGTATTTACTTATCGTCTGAATGCAAGTAGATTACCATTTTACTCTTTTGTCTATGTGTATATCATATGGACTGGATGAACTGTCTGAACATGAGTAAATGACCATTTTGCCCTTTTCCTCATTATGTCAAACTAGACAAAACAGAGACGCTTAGTTACCTTGCGTAGCGTGACTGAATAGAAATATCCCTGACTTTTATCCGGTTGACTGTACCACTCTGACTCACAAGAACAACTTCTTCATCACTTTCACCATCATCTGTAACAACAAAAATTAAAAAATTAAAAAACTAAAAAAAATATTCTTGATAAATTAAATTAACACTGAAACCAGCAAACCACATTACCTGCTGTAGTAAAACCAACTACAAAAACAGCTGCCAATCTGTCTTCCGATGAAAACTTAAATAAAATAAACAAAACCCATCATAATCAACTCAAAAAAATTAAAGATTAAACTTGCTTCATGTAAAATGGAAGCATGCATACCTTGTACCCTTTTAATCCAATCCTATTCAAAGGTGATTTGCGAAAGTGGCTGAGAGGAACTCGTTTTCCATAACCATTTTCAGACACAAACAACAGCCATGGCCCATGTGCTCGGTTACTGCAAATAAAAAAATTAAGAAGTTGAAACAAAAATAGAATAAATTTTATAAATAAAAATGTGAGACAAGGTTGATGAAATTACGGGGTGTCGGGAGTGCTAGATTCAGATTCACTTTCTATTCCATCCTGTTTGGTTGCAGGAATAATATCCACACATGCCATTCTATCGCCTTCTTTCAGTCTCATTGCAATCTGACCTCGACTATGTCTAGTGAGTGCTCGGATCTATAAATAAAAAGTTAAAAATATTAATTTTGGTTTTATAAAATATAAGCAAAAATAATAGAGAACTTACGATATCACAAGAACTAAGAATAACCATTCCGTTTTGTGAAGCCATTGCAATATAGTCTTCATTTGTGCAATGACGAACCCATTTCAGTTCATCACCAGGCACCTAGAAAACAGAGTATGTGAATGTGAGTGACACTTGTTTTACTTTTCCATCAGTAAGTTATATTTTTGGCCCCTGAGTATAGCTGACTTTTGCAATTTTGGTCCCAAAAAGTTCTCTTGCAAGTGTGGTCCTTATTTGCAGGTTTTTATCCCTGTTCCAAGAAAATGACATATTTGGGACGAAAATTGCAAGCATCAGTTGTACTTAGGGATCAAAAATAGTCATTTTTACTTGGAACAGGGACAAAAAAAACATTAAAAGAACCTCAAATGATAACCAAAATTGCACGATGAAACTTTTTGGGACAAAAATTGCATAAATCAGCTATACCGAAGGACCAAAAGTGTAATTTACTCTTTTCTAAAAGTATTATGAGTAAATTACATTTTTGGTACCAAAATTGCAAAAATAGCCATACTCAGGGACCAAAAATGTAATTCACTCTTATTTAATAGTATAACGAGTAAGTTACATTTTTGGTCCCTGAGTAAGTATAGCTGAAATTGCAAAAATACAGACCACAATTGCAATAGATAACTTTTTGGGACTGAAATTGCAAAAAATCAGCTACATACAAGGACCAAAAATGTAATATACTATAATATTGAAGATGAAGAAATATAAAAAGAAGACAAACCAGTTGAAGTGCTATGATACCAGATGACCTAATGGATGAGAAGTACATCAAAGATACTTTTTTAACATATCCATTTGCAGTTAGCATTAAAAGATATTGATCTTCAGCAAAATCACTAACAGGGATGATAGAAGTAATTCGTTCACCATCAGATAGGGACAAAATCTGAAAGTAAAAAAGAATGAGGGAATTGAAAACACATAAAGGGTAGAATGGGAAATACAGTTAAAGATTCAAATACCTGGATCAAGGGTGTGCCTGCAGCTGCCCGAGAACATTCCGGAATCTTGTAGGCCGCAGCAGAATACACAATACCCTTATCACTACACAAATGAAAAAAAAAATATATCATTATTGGTCCTGTAGTTTGACATTGTGTCATTATTGGTCCCTAAGGAAATACCTAAAAAAGAGGAGTCGATCATGGGTACGACATACAAGAAAGTCTGACATTGTGTCATTGACTCTTAGTTTCCCAACTGATTTACCAATGGTGCCACGTTTTTGTTGATTAAAAGTGTCTGGTTTCATTCTTTTCACATAACCCTTTTCACTAAGTGCCTGACATTGGATTAATATGTCTTTAGCATCATAAAATAAAATAGAAATTAACCGAGTTTTTATTTAGAGTTTTGAAGTACCAATAACATTTCTTCATTTGGGATAACATCTAAATCATCAAGTGTGCCATTATCAGCATCTTCCAAAGTGGAACGACGTGGAGTTGAGAATTTGTTCTTTATCTCATTTGCTTCTTGTTCAATCACCTAAATAGAAAAAAGAAATGTATTAACAAATAAACAAACTTTACACTAAAGAAAACTAATAAAAAAAATAAAAAGGAATACGGTATACCTGTAATATTTGCTTTTTGCTAGATAGAAGTTCCTCCAAGTTAGAAATTTGGTCAGTTAAGGATTTCCCTTCATTAACATACTTGCCTCTCTACAAAACAATAAAATACAATTCTTAATGTGATTAAAAAGATAACTAGAATACGTAATATTCAAAAAAAAAAAGGCAACAAATAGAGAAGGTGTAGGACCTCGAGTAATGTAAGTCTGCGTAAGTTGATATCTAATATTGCTTCAGCTTGTTTTTCGGATAATTGAAACTCTGCAATATAGATCATAATCATAATTTCACATCATGAATTCAAAGGAGCAAGTAAACACTTTGACCATGTCACTGTATAAATAATAAAACAATATTGAGCCTTACTTTTCCTCAGATCAGCTGATGCAACTGAGTTACTTGTAGCTTTTCTGATTACATCAATTACATTATCGATATTATCTAGCCCAATTAAGATACCCTTCATTTTACCCAAAAAAGAAAATATGTTAATCAGTCATTAGCCATTCATTTCTTAGTGTGGTCCATATCATATCAGGACCAAAATCTTTAAGTAAACAAATGTTTATGTATATATATACATATACTTACAATTACATACATACAAACATACATACATACATACACATACATACCTCAACAATATGATTTCTGTCTCTTGCTTGTGCAAGCTTAAACCTTGCACGTCTTTCAACCACTGAGCATCTAAAATCCAAGAAAGCCTGTAGGATAAAAGATTAAGTAAATGGAATATAATTAAAAGTTTGTGTTTTGTAGACATTCAAATTCAAACCTAACATGTAGGTCATATAAATATAGTAAGAGAGCATGTAAAACTTAATGAGTTACCTTAAGCAATTCTATTAAGCCCCATTTGTTTAGGTTGTCCATCGAGAATACTGACAGATGAGTAAAACATGAAAAGTCAAAATTCGGTCAACCCTGTTTTAATTTCAAGATTTTATTAGGACAGAAAGTGACCAACTAATAACCACTCACCCAACCATGTTGCAGCTAAAACTTGACTGTAGAGCAGTGGAACGATATAGATTATTCAGAATAATTGCTGGATCAGCACCCCTCTTAAGCTGAAAAGTTTAAATGAAAAAAGTTTTAAGTTTGTAAAATTTCAGAAACTACTTTAAGAAAGAATTTTAGAAAACTACCTCAATGACTATTCGCATTCCAGATCGATCACTCTCATCACGGATATCACTTATGCCTTCCAAAGTCTTGGAAAAAGGACAAAAGAGTAAATTTAGAGCATGCTCAATTGGAATATTGTGAGTTTAAATTATACGCCATGAGAGGAGTACCTTGTTCTGAATTAGCTCAGCAATTTTCATGACAAGAGAGGATTTGTTGGTCTGATAAGGAATCTGTTCCATATAAAAAACAAAAACATATAACAAGTTAATGCATATATGTGAATATGTGATATGTGATATGTATTTACATTGTGTACAATGTGATCCGACTGATAGTCATAGAGAATAACCTCTTTTACTATAATTGCAACGCTCTTTGTTCTAGAATCTGATACTTCTATCTCTGTTTTTCCTCTGACAATGACACGCCCTTTACCAGTTCTATAAGCCTCCAAGATTCTGAATCAACAAGAATTTGAGAATTTATTAAAATTACTATAAATGCAATGTCTTGGTCACAATCAAAAAAGAGGAGATACCCAAGATTTCCCATTATGATTCCTCCTGTTGGGAAGTCAGGTCCAGGCATGTACTCCAGCAATTCTTGCAGCTGTTACAAAATCAAGCAACTCCTCAAGGTTATGTTTAAGCATAATAATAGAGAACATTGAAGAAAATAAGACTATTATCAGAGAATAAAGCAAATACAGTGGCATTTGGATTATGAATCAACACAATTAGAGCATCAACTAACTCCCCAAGATTATGTGGAGGGATATTGGTTGCCATTCCCACCTAGAAAAGAAATGAAAATAATGAGTTGATGATAATAAAAAACATATAGTATAAGGGTCATAATGTAACATCTAGATAAATACCGCAATCCCTGAAGAACCATTCAATAACAAGTTTGGGATCCTAGCAGGAAGCAATGATGGTTCTTTTAGAGAACTGTCAAAGTTTGGAACAAAATCAACCTGCCAAAAAAGTGGAACTTAGGGCATAACAATTATTTGCTAACATTGTAAGATTAGAAGGTTGAACAATACGTACTGTATCCTGATCCAAATCTGATAGAAGCATTGTTTCAGCAAGTGCCTGAAAAAGTGAAGCTAGAACAATGAGTACCTCTATCACTCATTCACACTATGTTAATATAAATGTAAAACAACACACATAAACATACTTCCAATCTGCATTCTGTATACCGCATTGCTGCAGCATTATCTCCATCCACTGAACCAAAATTCCCATGACCACTCACAAGTGGACAACGCAATGAAAAATCCTGGAAAGAATTATGTGTTCACAAGGTAAAAGATAAACTATGGATAAGTCTCTCTGAAAATTGAAACTTCAAAGGTGATAAATTTCATTTGTGCCCGTGTAAACTTCTTATTGTGATTCATGTTTAATTACCTGTGCCATTCGGACCAGTGAATCATAGACAGCAGTATCACCATGTGGGTGAAACTTACCAAGGACCTGAGAGAGAGGAAACAGTCCAAGTGTAAGGTTGCATCATCAAATGATCATATAAATAGGCAGTAACAAGGAACAGGATTTGAGTATGTAAAAAGCTGTAGTTAGATCATAACCTCTCCAACAACTCTGGCACATTTCTTATGAGGTTTACGTGATGCAAGGCCCAATTCATGCAATGCATATCTGCAATCACAGTGAAAACAAGATGACTAACTATTACGAGAACTCTGATTCAAAGCAAAAACCTCATGAATCAGACCTCCGTCATGTGATAACCCTAAGTTTGAAAAAACTCACAATATACGGCGGTGAACGGGCTTCAATCCATCACGAACATCAGGCAATGCTCGTCCAAGCAGAACGGACATAGCATAAGACATATATGCTTCCGTAGCCTCTTTATGAAGCTCCGTAGGGACAATCCTCCCATGCCTCGATTCGCCATCGCTACCTGCAGCTACCGTCATTAAACCCCCATTTCCGCCCTCTCCCCCGTCCTCGACACCCTCTGTCGCGGAATTTTCTCGCCGCTTCGAACTCACCGATGTCAGACGGCTAGAACGTCGAGTGGTCGAGAGGAACCGCAGAGTATCAAAGCTGCATCCCTGCCTCGATAATCGGGCAGTGGAAATTGGTAAAGCCAACTGATTGTAACATCGAAAAAATCGAAAGCTGTTTGTGAATGCCATCGAAGGATTGTTGGATAGGGAGTATGAAGGTTTCATGCCATCACAAAACGAACACTCTCGTCGTCTCTACGCTACAGAGTTATCGGTATCTTTGTCTGGATGTTGGTTTTATGATGCAAATGGTAAAGAGAGCCTTAAACCCTAGTAAAAGGGTTCATGCGCGCCAAGTTCTTGATTATGTTTGCTAAATTATACTTCTACCCCGAAGGAATGGTTTCTTTCATTTGGGTCCTACTTAGAATTTTTATACCATAAGTTTTGATTATCTATGGCAATAATGTTTTTTGTCATTTATCACTTCTTCAAAATTTTTGTTATAAGTTGAGATTTTTGAATTACTTAAATTTTGATATGTATGTAGTATTTTCAATTTTTTGTTAATAAAAAAATTAACTAATTACACTAATTAACATATCTATTATTATATATGTAAAATATTTATTATATTAAATGTGTAGATCAATATTATAATAAATGAAAATTTTATTATTTAAGGTAAATATATTTTTAAAATGAACATAATAATAAATAGTTTGTTTTTTCTACCACTAAAAACATTTATTATGATTTTTTTTTATACATAAATTAAAATAATGAAATATTATAAAATAATATTGTCAAATTTGAGATATAATAAAATATATTTTTTTAAATTTTGAGATGAAGTAGGCGTTAAAAATATTTAATGTTTACGCCTTGAAATAAAACTTTTATTTTTAATAAACTCGTGTAGTATACGGGTCTCACACCTAGTATATTTTTTATATAAAATGGTGTCTTTGGTTTATTGCGGTTTGCGGTATTTTTTCAACAATGTTTCAAGTGGTTTGGTATCAGTTTTTAACCAAACAATAAAATAATAAGGTTTTCTAAGGTCCGATCCAAAGGGGTCCAGGATGTACGACCGCATAGGGCCCCGAAAAAAATAGGGTTCGGGTTTTAGCGAAATTATAGTATTATGTAAGTATATAATTAATCTCGCGTGTAGTTTAGTTGGTCAATGACGCCGTGTTTTTTCCCTTATTGTCAGTACACCATGGTTCGATTTTTGCTTCCCCTATTTCTTCGTTATTTTGTTAATAAGTTTTTCATTATTATACAATGCTTAAGTAAATATTTCAGTAGTTCAGTTGGTTTAGTCCTCACCTTTACTCTTTCTAAATAATGTCAAAGGTTTTATACTCCTTGTAGACTCACCTTTAACATGTTTTTTATTTATTTATTTTTATTTTTTGTTAACTTTAATAATCGTTTTTTAACAAACATTTTCAAGTAGACCTTTAATCTCTCTTTCTAAACAAGTGAAAAACTTGGGCGCGCTACGTCGCGGGTTCAAAGGAAGTGTGATTAGTATTCAAAAATTGACCTACGTTATTCTGATCTTATAGAATTGTACTTTCAAACGAACCACCATGTATGTGTGGTTGTGTATATGAGTGTGTGTGTGTATGTGTCCATAAAGTTATGATTGATGACCAAAATCCCCTAGACAATAGCAACAATTCATAAAGATTTTACATCTAACATAATTAAGCATAATTGTTTTTATATTGTACTTTTATGTTTTCTCATAATAAAAAACATTACCACATAAACATGTTATTTTTACCTTTAATCAAAGTGGGTTGCTTGTTTTGTTAAAGAAGATCAGGTGATAAAAAAACCAAAAAATATAAAAATATAAGTACACTGCCTTTTCATGCTCAAAATCATACCAAGAGACTGCAAACCTAAAAATAATAAAGTATGTTGCCCTTTCCATAAGAAGATACCAACCGATATATAACCAAATATTAACACCAAAGTTAATTTTTTTTTAAATGGTCCATATGTAAAAAAAACATAGATTAAAAAAAAACTTACATTTACTCTCCTTGTACTACTTAATTTTGGTCTGCTTTCTTTGCCCCGTTCAAAAAAAAGGTAGATAAATTTATAACACAAATCATTTTCAACAAAAAAACGTGGCAAAGAAAATAAAGTTATTTTTGATGCAGTCTTACATGGATATGTTGTATACATTCCTAAAAAGAGTTTACATACAAATGTTGTTTGGTTGCATCATGGACATCACATTGTGGCGAAGTTGTTCCTTCTTGTGCATACTAACAGGAAAATTTGCATTACCACTTGTGATATGAAAAAAGTCATGATTACTATCAAGCAATTAGCTTTTTTTGTAAATGGAAAACGAATAAGCATGTAGGTATCAATTAATGGTTTGTTTCGTACAACGAAAGGGGATGAACAAATGAATGGAATGAACTTGCACACTCTTGGAACCAAAATGTGAAATGACTTACTAACTTTAGTAGGTATCGATTATGTTCCTATTTTGACCAGAGCTTTCGTTTCCTCCTTTGTCAACTTTTTCTTATACTGGCCTTTAAATATATTAATTAAATTATGTACCTATCAATCCATTTCATAATTCATATACTCCTTTTACACCTAATAAATATTCCTTTCATAGTAAAATAAAAAATAAATAGATTTCTAAGACTTACTTCAAGTGAAAATCCATCGACATTTTTCAAACTTGAGTTGATCAGAAGTTGGGATCTTAAAGGTTGTTGTTGATTTCGGATATGAAGACTTTTTACATTTCATGATTCGCCAATGCAACCTTCGCTTCCTTTTTTGCCTATTTCCCGAAAAGTTATAAAAATAAAATGTATAATTATAAGTAGCAGAATAATCTCATATTGAATTTGTGGTGTATAATTAAAACTTACTTTTAGCATCAAACTCTACAAATTTCCTCTTTCACCCTTTCCCTTTGTGAGATGAACTTGATATTTGATTGAGACATCATAAATTAAGGAAAAAGTGATATAGTTATTTAAAACTAAAGTAAGCTTTATACTTAAAAGCTTACATAATATATAAAAGTATATTTTACCCATATCAATTAGAGGAAATTTGGAGGTATTGTCTTCCCAAAGTTCGAGCACGAGTTTACGTGTAAGAGTATCGTAATAGGAAATTCCAACTCTGGCAACATGATTTTTATGATGAGCTAGTTAACACCAATAATAAAAAGCTTTATAATGGATTAGAGAAGGTAAATCTGATATTATTTTTGCACTTTGATTCAATTATGATGATAAACATAGTTTTTTCATCATGATGGAGGAGATTATATGTGGTAAATAGATGAAATATGGCAATTTTAATCATTGCAATAGGATTATCAAATATTGATATTTGTTCACCTGAGAAAGCTTACATACCTATGAACATGCATGAGGCATGTCATGTACAACTGCATAGAAAAGCCATAAAAATGTCATGAAATTTCAGGATAAGCAAAAATAACATTATTGTAACACCCGTGTCAGGGTACGAGTTAATATCTTAAAGTTTGAATTTTATTCTTGGGTGGTCACGGTGTGGTGGATCTTCACCACGGCGTGGCGATTGTTTTCTTGACCGCGAGGTTTAATGACCCGTCACGGCGTGGCTATAAGGGCCACGACGTGGCAGGTGATTTTAATGAAACCCTAGATTTTCGGGTTGGACCCCTATTTAAAGGAATGGGGAGGATATGGTTTGCTCACCCTTAGCCTCCATCGGCCTCCTAAAGCTCTAAATAAACCCTAACCTCTTTCCTCCATTATTGAAGCCCATTTTGGTGTTCTTGGAAGTTTGGAAGAGATAAGGCAGAAAAGGAAGTTAAGATCCAACAAGTAAGTCTCCATTCTTCACCCTAACACTCTTCTAGACCTTTGTAAGTGTCCAAGACTCGGTTTTTATCATGTTATATTGCTATATCTTGAGTTTTAGCCCTTAATCTTCTTGTTCTTGATAGTTGGAATGGTGATACTGCATAAAGGTTGCAACTTTATGAATCTTTGGAACATTTAGTATGATTGTGGGTTTGGATCTGAAGTGTAGTTAAGTCTTTGAGCCATGCATGATATTTTTATCAAAAACCCATATTTTGGACCCAGTATGGCTTCAAGACATGCATTAGACATGCATCTCTATAAAAGCACCCATCCTTATGTTGGATCTGGTATTAAAAACTCTTCTAGAGTGGGTGGGTGAAGGACCTTTTCGGAATAAGGGCTTAATGGTTAAGACATTGTGGCATTTAGCCTTACATGGACCCATGGTTTGGGATTTTGACATTTGGGGTGGTTCTTATCCTTCTAGACCATGTTTCGGACCAAATCTGAGCTTTGGAGCTCTTGGAATCAAGGAAAATGGCTTAACCCATTAAGTTGTTGGAAACCCAGTGCCTACAGCGTGGCGACTAGGAAATGTCTGCCTGTCGATCATATGAAGGCCACTACATGGACAAGGAAGGCCACAACGTGGCGGTTAACTAAAGCCAATGTTGACCGTTGACTTTTGACTCGATTTGACTTTTGGTCAAACTCCTAGTTTTGGAATAAGATTTGAGGGTTTACCTTTTGTAATGGTCTAGGTGGTGCGTAGCCTTGGTATTTCTGGTAGTGATAGCAACAACAACTATGTATCGACCGAGAGGTGAGTCTCTTCACTGTACTTAGGGGTCGAAGGCACCAATGTTGGTCCACTGGATTATGTATTTAGGATGATAGTTGTCTTTGTGACACTTGTTGATATGCATGTATGTGTTTGTTGTCTTTGTGACTCTTGCTGATATGATTGCATGCTTAGATGTAGGGGTGAAATAGACCCGTACCTATTGAAAGATAGTGAATGAGTTGAAATAGACTCAGGGTGAAATAGACTCGTACCGGTTGAAAGATATCGAAGGATTTGAAATAGACTCTGGGTGAAATAGACTCGATTTAGCTTCGTGTTGTTATGTATGTTTAGCATGGGGTAGTTTAAGGAAACTCACTAAGTTGTGTGCTTATAGTTCTATGTTTATGGTTTCAGGTACTTCTGGTTCGAAAGGGAAGAGCCCGACATGATGGCACCGCATCCACTAGTGTTCCGCATTCTACGATTTTGTTTTGTACACTCATGGGATTTTCTTAATGATTGAATGTTTATTTGACTATTTGAAAGAAAAATTTTCACTTAAAATTTTTTGGACGTTACAAGTTTGTATCATAGCCTTAGTTTGAGGGATTCAAATACACTCTCGGGTGTGTTTGAACTCAACCCGAGGAATTAGTAAAAATTTTGAAAGAAAACAACTATTTTTTAAATATTTTTTGAAAAAAAAGGGGTGTG